CCAATTGAGGGGAGCAGTACTCAATCATCTGGGAATTAACCATGTAGTCTCTAGTCAACATGTAAAATATCCAGGTCATGTTCCCGTGGAGCAAGATTTCTCAGCAGCCGTTCTACTGACATTCACTGCAGGCTGTTTCCCAGCATCATTGGACTCTGCTCACTAAGCATCACAGGTCTCCTCTGTCTTAGTTACCGGTAATTGTCATTAGCTGTCTTAGTTACCGGTGATTGTCGTTAGCTGCCAGCTAGTCAGTTCTGGCTCATAGACAGACACTATGTCAGACAAAAGGAAACACTGCGCAGTCCTGCACCAGCCTCACAGTGGTTATGTTGAACTCATTGTTGCAGGCACTGTATCAATGCATCCTCCTGAGGGTCCTCCTCTTTTTTATCTCCCCTCTACTTTGCTAAGCACGACGTCCTTTTATCAGGGACTAGTGTCCCCTCAGGAGCCCTGGTGGTGTAGTGGTTATTACTCATTGGACTGAGATCCGCAAGGTCTGTAGTTTAAAACCAGTAGCTGTTCTGTGGGAGAAAGATGGGACTTTCTGCTCCCATAAACAGTTCCTGTCTTGGAAACTCGCAGAAGCAGTTCTACCCTGTCCTATAAGGTTGCTATGACTTGTTACCAACTTGATGGCAGTGAGGGTTTTGTGTGTTTTTTCCCTTGAGTTTCTCCTTATTCTCCTTACAGTATGCCTAAAGTACTTGAGACATAGTCTCTCCATCCTCGCTTCTAAGGAGCATTCGGGTTGTACTTCCCACAAGGCAGGTCTGTTTGTTCTTCTGGCAGGCCATGCTACTTCCAATATTCCTTCATCAACTCACCATTCAAATGCACCAATTCTTCTTCAGTCATCCTTATTCATCGTCCAACTTCCAAATGCATATCAGTGATTGGAAATGCCATGGCTTAGGTCGGAACGCCATGCTCCTCAAAGGGACATCCTTGTTTGTCAACACTTTAGAGAGGTCTTGTGCAGCAAATTTGCCTGATGCAATATGTCCTTTGTATCCTGAGGCTGCTTCTGTGAACACCGATTATGGATCCAAGCAAGATGAAACCCTTGACAATGTCAATCTTTGACCTAGTGCTATTGTAACAGAACTAGCACCGATTGGTGGCTTTAACTAACAGGGAGGTGTTTACCCAGCATGAAGAAGTTGACAATCCCCTACAGGGGGCCAGCTGTGGAGGGAACACACATTTTCTCTTGGACCTTCAAGAGAAGGTCCTTGTCTCTCGAGTTTTGTTCCTCAGCAGTCTTCATGTGGCTTGGCATCTATCTTTCCCTATCTCTGCTTGCTTAATTTTTGCTCAATTTCCTCTTTTATATCTCAAAAGAGATTGGTGTAAAGCATATCTTCCACTAAAATTGCCTTACTAACCCAATCAAGAACATTCATATTTTCCAACAGTTTTATTAGCAAGTAATTTACATACCATATAATTCAATAGTTCAATCACCCCCTCATGTCACGGAGAATTGTACATCGCCTTCACATCCATTTTAGAGCATCCCCCTCTCCCATGGTACAATCGCCTTTCAGATGATTTGTGCAATCACAGTCATTCTAGTGCTCCCTCTCACCTCCATCTTCATTAGTTACTCCCGAAATCCCCTTTCCTTCCCTACCTCCCCAACCCCCCTGTATTCTCTATAGCCCTCTGTGTCCCTAATTATCATTACACATCCACTCCTCCTGTGCTTCACAGCTAGGAGACCCAACAGAAAGCAATAGGAAACAAATTGCATCGAGATGGTAAGAGTAGACACATAATAGTATACAGACAAAACTACTAATACTCATAGAGTGTAAGAAGGAAAAGATCCAACAATAATAAAAAAGCCAGGAAGGGAATTTCTGTCATGGAAATTTACACCCAGAACAAATCCAGGTCACGTCTATACGGTGGTCAACTGTCCAAGTGTCTAGTTGGATCCACCATATTCAAGATTGCAATGATAAGGCTGATGAAGCCTCTTGTCTGTGGCTGGAGCAGTTCTGCCAGTGGCTAAGTCTGACCAGATACTCTGCAGATGGCTCTCAT